GCCTCAAGAGAAGCTTGTGAAAATCGACTTTCCCAGTTTTTTGCCAATAGGGACGAGGGTTTCTATGAGAGAGGCATAATGAAATTACCTACGAAATGGCAACAAGTTATCGAACAAATCGATGCATATTTGACCTAAATCGGATCATAGTAACTATGTTAAATAAAGCCTCCAATTTGATACAAAAATAATGGATTACTTTTTACTAGACCTTATATTTATCGGAATATTCGTTTATTATATAAACAGCTGCGTAATTAGTAACATTCTCGTGCTTGTGTCTGCAGTAACATTCACCGTAGCGTGTTACTACAGCATTTACCGTAGCGCAACATGGCGCAACTATCTGCGCGGCACCCATGTCAAGGAAGTTGTATTTTTAGTAGATACGGTAGCCGCGATCGTAACTTTTACACACGGAAAAGTGAATAGTGATATACTAACGGTAAGTGTGTACGAAATTGGAGGGCGAATTGGAGTGAAATTAAAAATTCAGAAGGGGAGTATAACCATCGCAAGAGAAATCTACTAAAAATACAACTTCCTTGACATGGCTGATAACGCCTCTCGTAATCCTCACTATCGTTCTCGTAAAGCGAATCGCTTTAGCCTTACACGCGCGAATCCGTAACTGGGAAAAGCTTGCAGACGCCGCGTGCGCACATTGCTTAGACGCATTTTGCATAATGCGATTTCCTTCCGCGATTCTGCATTCGTGGTACCACATCTACTCGCGACATCCTTTCATATTTAGCAATCACACGCTGGTTGGCACATTGTGATTACCTTAGACGCATTAATATTTCCTGTCTTGAAATTTCTCTTCTCGTCTTCGCATATCATTGTTATGATTCTCTATGTGATTCCAATTTGTCCTCTTGTTTCTCGTTACTTTTGCACATTACTCGGATGGTTAGAAAAATATCTTTTTGTAGCGTCAACTGACATATTTCGATTAAATTTGTTAATCGAATTCCGAGACTATAACCATGATTGAAAAGAATTTAGAATTCACACACCGATTTTAGAAATAACCTAACACTTTCGGAGCAGAAACGAACATGGAGAAGAACTACTTCGTGAAGTAATTTCTCTTGCGATGGTTATACTCCCCTTCTGAATTTTTAATTTCACTCCAATTCGCCCTCCAATTTCGTACACACTTACCGTTAGTATATCACTATTCACTTTTCCGTGTGTAAAAGTTACGATCGCGGCTACCGTATCTACTAAAAATACAACTTCCTTGACATGGGTGCCGCGTTATCTTGTCGATTCTCGTGCGTAAAACCGGCATTCTGCTATAATAAAGCCACGTGCTAACCGTACACCGAAATTCGAACCATTTGATCACCTAAGCAATGCTTTACACGGTCTAAAAAAAGTGTGAGAAATAAATGAAGTATACGTTCTTCGAGGAATTTCAAGATGCCTCTTCCTCGCCGAAAACCCAATAAAAAATACGAAAAGACGAACTCCAAAATTTAAATCTTCGATTAATTCGATCTAGATTTTATGTTAATGGAACATAATTTAAAACGAAATTACATATATAAGGTGTTCCCAAAAAGTGGGCCGGCTATATGTAGCTGTATATATAGGATATATTAATGTAAACAGAAAAGTTCGTATAAACGTAATGCCTGAAACGTTCAGTTGATGAATTAAGGGCGTATAAAGATTACGAGAAGAATTTTTGTATTATTATAATAGGCGCTAGTTTTAATGCTCGTTTTGACCTTATAATAATAAGCACTAGTTTATTGACGCAAATGAATATAGGATACATCAGTACAAACTAAGAAGTTCCTATAAATATAATGTCCAAAACGTTTTGTTATTGTTCTGCGGCAGATCGCATCATGTGAGGCATCGAAGTAGTCTCGTTTCTTGTTGACAAATTTCTGTCAGTATTATTTGTCATTTTTGTGAAGTGCCATTTCTTTAAGAATGGAGTCTATTCTTTTGCATGAATGTGTGACATACACTTGATATATAGCACGACAGATTGTAATCGAGCTGAAGCCAGACGACTTTATGTGGTATTGTTTCCAAATCAACGTTTGCCTAACGAAGAAACATTCGAATGAATTTATTTTCGCTTACGAGAAACTGGAATAAAAGCACTAAAACTATGAAACCAGCGCTTTTTATGATAATATAAAAATTCTACTTGTAATCTTTACACGGTCTTAATTTAGCTCAAGTTAACTGAGCGTTTTATGTTTATACGAACTTTTTTGTTTACATTGATATATTCTATATAGCTACAGACAGCCCATCATTTCGGAGATATCCTGTATATTTAAATTACTTTATATAAATTAGCTTCACCGCTTTTATTCCCCAGAGATTTATTATGACTGAAATCACTACTTCCTTTATTCACGTCTGTTCAGCTAGCACCCCCCTCACAAAAAATTGAAATAGCATTTATATAGGAATTATGTGTATTTTATGCTAATTATACGTTCTATTCCCGATTTTTCTACTCAAGTGGTTTAGCAGAAAATCACGATTAAAAATGGAGGTGCTAATTTAATATAAAAGGTGTGTAAAGCACTTTATTTGCACACAACCTAATAATATATTTAAAGTTTACTA